TCTCGAACAAGGCTCACAACCTACCTACGTATGTATAGTAACACATGTTTTGTTCACACAGCCAAGTTTCTGTGTAACTGAGGCATGCAAATTATACTCAAATATATATACATGTCTACACACCCTGACAGCAACACATCTACCCTTCATGAAGCTCAATGAATGGATGAATTTAAAAGTAATTTCACTTGCTCGGAGTCTGCAAGAGGTCGGGCTTTCATTTCCCATTTCCTAAACCGACTGTGAAATGTGTATGTACCTAGTGAACTTGTGACATGTTTAGATGCTACTGTGAAATAAAATATACATTTGGTATTGTATTTTCTTACAGGTTCCTGTAATTATGACGATTTATAGTATTGAAAATAGTCGTAACTGTGTATATACAAGTATATTCACTCAAGCATTTACATATATTCCCCTCTTAATCCCTTGCTTGTTGTCGTGGGGGGGGGGGTAGGACACGGAGACTGAGGTCCAATATAGGGGATCATCCCCTAGAGCTCAGTCCTAGCCTCAATTAATTTGCATGGTCTTTTCTACTTCCCCTTTTCATTTCCCTTCTCCTCTCCATGCCTGTCCACATCCTAAAGTGTGAGAGCTGTGCTGAGAGAATGAAAGGCTGGCTGTGTCAGTCCTGGACGACCTTCGCACTCCGTTTGCTCTCTCTCCTTACCCTTTTCGCAACCCTACTAACCTAAAGTGCTCTACAACCTTGGTCATTTAATATATTTTGTCCCAACCGTTAACTCATTTTTACCCTCTTTGCCACACTATCATAATGCTGCATGTCCATTGATGTCCGGCACATGATTTGTTTTGACCGTTAACCATTCTGGGAATCCATAAACATCGCCGTATGAAACAAAAAACTTCCTTGCCCGGGAACTTTGCCCCCAAGAATCACCTTTTCACTACATTTTAAATACGCGGCAGAAAATGTTAAATAAAAATTAATTATCCATAAACATTTACTGTATGAGCATATTTGAAAAATACATATATATATATTATGCATATACATATACAAACATATGTATATAATAGTAAATATACACATTTAATACATAACACATATAATACACATATATGCACACACACATGTATGTATGCATATCTATATCGTCAAAAATATTTTAAAATATGCGAGGAAAATAGGACAGAAATTATCAGAGGTGATGATTAGCTGAATTTTTGAAAAGTTGGTCCAAAATAGACTACTGCTGAAAGTCAGTCATATACATATACTGGAAGAAGAGCATACGGCGAGCACTATCAACCCGTGTCACTCATTAACTCTGGCCCAAGCGTATCGTGCTGCGTGACTGCAGGGAATGGTTAATGGTTGAAACATATGTGCTAGACATATAAGGTCATACAGCACCATGACAAAGTATTGCGGTAAAGAGGGTAAAAAGGAGTTAACGATTAGGATAAAGTGTTAAATGCCAAAGGTTATAGTTATAGGATAGTATGATAGGAAAAAAGGTAGAGGTAAATAAAGAAAAGGGTTAAGGGTATAGGGTGATTGGATGAAATGGTGTGTATCTGTTGCTGGGGAAGCTACAGGGACATTGGTTTAAGGAAAAACTGATAAAAGAGCTATTATGATATTACGTGTAACACTGGTAGATATAGCTGTTGGAGAAGTAGCTGGAGAAGAGTCTGGGGGATGAGACTCGGGACGGTGAAGTATCAGAAAGAGCGTCAGGAGGGGAGGAATCCCGTGGAGGACACTGGTGCGTTGGGAAAGAGGAGGAAGTGGCACAGAGGGAACTTGCGGGGGAGGAGGATGGATATCGGCAAATACTCTGGATGTAGAGGGTCTAGAAATAGAGAGATTGGAAGGTGGATGAGGGAGTGGAACATTTTCTTGGGTCATGTCTTGGAATTTTTGGATGTCTTCAAGAGTTTCTGAGGGGGATTTGGGTAGGGAGGTCTGAGAAACAAAGGATCTCTTGTGAAGAGGAGATACATGTTCGAAAAGGAAAAGGAGGGTGTGGAAGGCAAAGATGGAGTAGAACGTTTAGGTTGTCCGGTGCGATAGGTCAAGTGAGGGGGAGGAAGGGTAGGCATCGGAGAAGTGGTAGAAATTGGAGTATCAGAAATTAGAATGGAAAAGGCATTTGACTGGCAGAGAGAGTAGAGGTAGGATGGTTCAGAATAGAGGGAAGAGATACTGTATTAAGAGAGGGGTGAGGTTCGGCAGGAATAAGTTTGCCAGTAAGGTCAGTTAGGGTAGATAGAGCATGAGCTTGGGTTTCAGATGTAACTGTGACCAGGCGTGAACGATCGGAGCGACTGTGAAAGGTAACTTTGCTTACTTGTTTTTGAAGACACTGTTGAAAGAGAAGGGTATCCTCAGAGTAAGGGGCTATGGAGGAAATCACAAACAATCGGTTCCACTTGGCTGGGCCAAAGAGTACTCCAAAGGTTTGCAGAGGTAGAGGCAGTAGAAGGATGAGGGCGAAAGGAAGATGGGATGGTGTGGAGCGTAGTAGTTCTGTGAGGGTAGGACAACATGGATGAAGAGTAGTAATAAGGGAAGAGGGGTAGACATTGAAGAAAACTGTGCAGATGGAGAGGAGAATGGGAGAAAGGAAGGGGTTCTTTCTGAAGGTTGAGTAATAACCTGGGTGGGTGTTTTGGAATGGATAATCCTGTCAGTAAGCGTCAAGGAGGGGGTATTAGTGTCAGTGGTTGGAGCCGTGGTCAAAGGAGGGGAAACCATCAAAATCAAATTTAGATGGGCTAGTGGGTGACTGGGTAAGCCCCAATGTCCCTATTGCGGATAAAGAATCTTCGTTATCGGCCGTGGTGAGCATGAATAAAATGGGGAAAAGAAACGGTCTACCCCTCAGGTTCCCCATGAGGAGTAAGGGCTTCATGACTGACACAGAGCCAGCCTTTCATCCTTTCAGCGCGGTTCTCACAACTTGGGAATGGGACAGAAGGGGATGAAGATACAGAAGTGTAGGGAAGACGTGTAAAGTTATAAAGTAGTCGATGTCTCTGTCGACTTTTTCAGTTGATATACACACGGATATCACTTCAAATACAAGAGAAATTGGATAAACTGGGCGATGCTCATGCGACAAGGCCTTATATTTCTTGAATTGATCCCCCCACATACACTTGATCCCCCCCCCCCCAGATACTACTATGACTAACATGTCTAGTCAGATACGTATTTTCTGGTCCATTTATTTACCCACATATTGCATAAACTGGGCATACATACCAGCTTCATTCAAGGTCAGAAACCCAGGGTAAGATAGAACACTTTACGATATGCAGCAACATTTAATAACATTCAACGCACACACAACCAAACAATTCATTAAGTTTTTAGGAAAACTAATATTAACATTATGGCACCATTTGACTGAATACAGTACGGTCATCACAAAGGAGCAAAATGTACAATAAAGTTACGTTAGGAAACACGAACAAAATTCAAAATAACACTTTAATCAAAACCCTGGAAAGATTAACATGTATCGTGGATTTAATGCTTCTGAAAGCAGTTCAGACATGTTCTGCTTACGGGTGATAACATTTGATATGAACAGTATGTACACAAAGCATGAAAGCATATATGGCTTGCTTCTACGTCTAGCTTCCATACTAAACAAGGACTGGCAATTTGAGAAATTCCATCGCATCAACACTTGGACAAATCATACTTTCTCAAATTAATCGAATTTTTTCTTCAGCCTTAGGATCTATATGGACATGCTGAAACAAGCACAAATTTAAGAAAGATACAGTTCCACGATGTATCAAGACAGTGTATTGTTATTACACTGAACATCCTTGCATATAATGTTTCTTAAGGGTAGTGAAGTATCATGCTACCATATCATTCACTGATAAACAATCCTAATGGATAAGACAGTATTCACACATCCGTGAACCGATGCTACTGTTGGAGTATTACACAATATTTTCAGCCTATATACAATATCATTTGTTTAAATATATACAAACTAGACTAACAATTTGTACACTCTTTCTACATTAATAACAATCGAATATTTTCTTTCTCACTAATAGTAAATGTATAAAAATCCATAAATACTAACAATTATACATTGTATTTACACTAAATAGTTACTTTATATTCTGATGACAATTAACGTCATCGGAATAAAGCATTCCGAGCATCATTCAGTCAATGGCATCCTTTATAGTTCTCTGTTCAGACACAAAACCCCAATGCATTCCCTTAGGGTTCTCATGGAGGAGGGACCTTGTGAGGAGCAGCAGAGGATCAGTGATCTGACAACATGTACTCAGCGTGAGAGTGTGTGTGGGAGCTGATTCCTCTTGGATCACTGAGTCTGCTTACAGAAATATTTGGTTCTATTTGCTGCCCTAACGCTCGATGTTTCGCAATGATTACGTGAGAATTTACCTTCATGGGAAGGTAGTGGTGGGTATTACTACTAGTCTCGTCTTTTGATGACTGACTGTTGCTATTTTGGTAAATATTTTTGCGTGCGATGGCTGCCTGTCGGAAGCCATTTTGCTTGTGAATCACGTTGTTGCCAGCTGATCCAAGTACTTCCTTTTTAATATTCGCACAGCCATGTTTATTCAAGTTCCCCTCTGCGTTGATCTTATGCTGTGGCACCGACATATCCAGATACCTCCCGTCGGGATCCTGACTGGTCCCTGGGCACCTTTGGATTCGAAGCATTTCCAAAGATGGATCTCGCTTAGTGGTATGCTGACCAGCTAACAGGATATTTCGCTTGCGATCGGACAGCCTCTCTGCGGCTCGCAAGCGGCTGTCATGCGGGTCTGTGTCCTCACCTCTGAGCAGGTCTACTCCACGGATAAGCAAGGTGTTTCTTGGAATCGGCAGACCATGTCCTTCACGGCTGTTGCGACGCATGTAAAGAGGCATTCTGCTCTGCGTCCCAAAGCGAGGATGACCTGGTCCGGGAGGGAGAATGGAGTCACTGGCATACAGGATTTTCTTTGCACTAAACACA